CATCTTGCAGATATCAAATTCCTTTTTTATGATGCCCGCTTCTCAGAAAGGCTGCATAGTTTGTTTAAGGACTGAGAAAAGATTACCCAGTCCTTATTTTTTTCTCGTGTAATAACATTTTTTGAAAAACAAAAGCCTTTTGTTCTCGTACTCGTTCTGGGATTTTTCTGCAAGTTTTCATTTTGTTTTTGGATGAAATACTGATCAACCCGAGGCTGAAGGTTGTTTTAAGCACCACTCACACTCCAGGTGACATAAGAAAGGAACAGACATTGCACCCCTATTTGTGCTAACAATCTGCTTGAGCTATTCGCCAGAGCCACCGAGTGTGTAAGAACCCCAGGCCTTCATATCAAGACTAAGAGTAGCAGATTTATCCATTTACTGAAACACAATTCATGCTCAAGGAATAAACACTAACGGAAGACTAAGAATTCCCACCACTTGCCACTGCCTCTTTCTGCCTCCCATTCCGCCTAGAATACCATTGCATTTCCTCATTAGGGGCGGATAACTAGGATATAATTGGGGCGCGTTGAAGAGGCCTAAGTGCTCTGGTTTGGTTCAGAGTTTTTTTGTGTTTAAATTCTTAGATTTCGGAAGGATTTTGAGGATATGGATCGATGTTATGCTATCACTGCAGCATAGCTAGCTGTATTTCTTAGCTCCGTTTCCTATCGCTATCGAATCTTGAATTGTTTCCTTTGCTACTTAAGAACAGGTTATAAATATAACCAATTTGCGCTTTTGCTAATCTACGAAACCTGAAATCTTTTTTAAGGGCCGCAGTTCCTGTGTCCGCATCTAAATAAGTTTAATTTACTATTAGGGCTTTCTTGAGACGTTCGACCAGGAAGCAATCGCTGGGTTTGGCAAATGGGTAATCTTCATTGCGATATCTGTCAAGGGCCATACTAGCGTCATCCCACCTCTTGTGGAACGGCTTGGTGACTCTTTTCAAATAATAATTTGACTTTTTGTCGATTTCATTGCTGAGCAAGTCTTCCAGCCTTTTGACTTCGTCAACCTTAGGCTTATTTTTTTCTCTTTCTTCGCATTCAGTCTGCAGAGATGATAATAAAAAAAGTATTTGCGGTATTAATAAGGGAAATAAGCAACTAAAAATAAAGCTATTTAAAATCATAGATCAAAGTGCTAAGAATGTTCACATATATGGTGTACCTAGCCTGCGTCCCAAGCGTAATTCAACTCCGGTTACTAACGTCTGAGAAGCAAAGCCTATCGGACTCAACGAATTACTGCAAATGCATTTTGAATTCCCCTGACCGGCAAATCGACAACGGGATTTTTAACAGGCCAGTCATGGCGGGTACTCAAATGCTGGTATTTGAGTGGCGGCCCAGAACAAGGATTTTGGCGCTATTTCGCAGACGGACTTAACCAGAAGTTTAGTTTCGTCTGCGGAGCAGGCTAGGTAGACCTTATATCGGTATGTTTAATTTCTTTTGTTTCCTTGTGGCTATTCAATTGGAGTCCCTGTTCTAGCTAGAGTAGCCAAGTGGAAAGCCACTAAAAACAAAGATTTGTATCTCCTCATGGTAAAGGTACTACTATTTTGTGGTACTGTTTAAAAAACGAGCAGTATGATCAAGCTTAAAAACTCGAGGCGAAGCCGAGTGTTTTTAAACCAGATAATACACGACTGCGAGTTTTTTGAACGGCCTCAAAATCTCTGATGTCGATCAACTCATTCTTGCACTAACACTGATTTAGATTTGGGGTTATTTTTGTCTAAGAAATTGGACGTAAAGTTTAGCCTTGTAATTATCAGATATAAGGACACTCATTAAACATTAATTTTTAATTTATTTGTTTTTTTTTTTATATAAAGTATTAATTAGTTTTTCGAATGCGTCATTCTACCTTAACGAAAAAACCGGATGCAGTTGTAATTTGTAACTGAAAATAATGCCAGCTTATTTTATAGTACTTTATACTGACCTCAATCTTTTCTTGTATTTTGGTTTCTTTTTTTGGATCCTCTTGCAAACTAGCAAGCTTGATACATTGTTCTGCCTCGTACAACCAAGCTCTGACTTCCTTCATTAAAATTCCCATTCTTTTCACTTTGTTCTGAGCTTCCTCAAGCTAGAATACAAAAACAGTCCATGTTTCAACACAGGGGGCCTACACAATATGTTTGTGTAACCGATTGTAATTTTATAGGTAAGTGTATTTGATTTACCATTTACTTCATCATATACTAAAGTGATAAAACTCTAAATATGTACTCAGGTCAATGTTAAATAAACGTTGTATTACCGTTCTGCGGTACATTAATTGTCGTCCTTTTGCCTCAGAGTTACAGTAAACGGAGAACTCAAAATCCTTCCAAATCGCTCAAAATAACTCTTTTGAGTGAAAAGGGCGACAAGGTACCGAAGGTAAGGCAACAAAACACTTATTTAACATTGATCTATATACATGTTTAGCGATATGTCGCTATAGAGGAAGCAAACGGTAAATCCAATACATTTAC